TCATTATTAACAATTGATAATGGTGTATTTGAAGTTGTTGCAACAAATGGTGATACACATTTAGGTGGTGAAGATTTTGATCAACGTGTTATGGAACATTTTATTAAACTATTTAAAAAGAAAACTGGTAAAGATGTTCGAAAAGATAATCGTGCTGTACAAAAACTTCGACGTGAAGTTGAAAAAGCTAAGCGAACATTATCATCACAACATCAAACTAAAATTGAAATTGAATCATTTTTTGATAATGAAGATTTTAGTGAAACATTAACACGTGCTAAATTTGAAGAACTAAATATGGATTTATTTCGATCAACAATGAAACCAGTACAAAAAGTATTAGAAGATTCTGACTTGAAAAAATCGGATATTGCTGAAGTTGTACTTGTTGGTGGTTCTACACGTATTCCAAAAGTTCAACAATTAGTAAAAGAATTCTTTGATGGTAAAGAACCATCACGTGGTATCAATCCAGATGAAGCTGTTGGTAAGTTTACTGATTTAATTAATGACTGTTGCTTCTCACAACACATATAGTTGCTGTCGTCATATTGCCTTCCCTACAGCTTTTACTAAGGCAACGTTACAGGTCTTCTTAAACCTTTTATTTGAAGTAATAGACATTTCATTTGCATTTTTCGTATCTGTCTTACGCACAGAGTCTACATTCAAAGTTGTGAAGTCATGTATAGGCCTCGTCCTTACATCAGTCTTAAGTTTAACATTTTCTTGTACCATGAAGCTCCGAATATGAGGAGAGTTAATATCGAGAGTTGCAAGTGTCGTGTTACCTTATTGATTGATGTTTAAAGTGAAGAAATCTGAAATTGTTTTTTTTTTGTGTTTAGCTTATGGTGCTGCTGTTCAAGCAGGTGTTTTATCAGGCGAACAAGATACTGGTGATATTGTTTTACTTGATGTTAATCCATTGACATTAGGTATCGAAACAGTTGGAGGTGTCATGACAAAGGTGATTCCACGTAATACAGTTATTCCAACTAAGAAAAGTCAAATCTTTTCAACAGCTGCTGATAATCAACCAACAGTCACCATTCAAGTTTTTGAAGGTGAACGACCAATGACAAAAGATAATCATGTTTTGGGTAAATTTGATTTAACTGGTATTCCACCTGCACCACGTGGTGTTCCACAAATTGAAGTTACTTTTGAAATTGATGTCAATGGTATTCTTAAAGTAGGTTCAAAATTTTAAGAGGTTTTTGTTTTGGTTTCTATTTAAAGTTGTTATTTAGGTAACTGCTGAAGATAAAGGAACTGGAAATAAGAATAATATTGTTATTAATTCAAATACAAATCGATTATCACCAGAAGAAATTGATCGTATGATTAAAGACTCAGAAAAATTTGCAGATGAAGATAAAAAAGTAAAAGAACGTGTTGATGCTAAAAATGAACTTGAATCGTAAGTTATTCTTTTGTTTTCTTTTGTTTACAATTGAAAAACTAATTAATTTTATAATGTAGATATGCTTATTCATTGAAAACTCAACTAAATGACAAAGAAAAACTTGGTGGAAAACTTTCAGATTCTGATAAAACATCCATTGAATCAGCAGTTGAAGAACAAATCAAATGGCTTGAATCAAATCCAATGGCTGAAGCTGATGAATTGAAAGAGCATAAGAAACAACTCGAAGAAGTTGTCACACCAATCATGACTAAATTATATGGACAAGGTGGTGGTGCTGGTGGTGCTGGTGATGTTCCACCACATTCTTCACATGGACATGATGAGGATAGTTTATAAAAAAGTAGAGAAAAAGCACTAGGTGAATGTAAAGATAGGAGGTGGTCAGATTCTTCTATATTTGTTTACGCTTGTTATGTCCATTCCAGTCTTTTTTTTCGCATTGTATCACAAAAAAATAATTGAGTATCAACGCGCTTTTTGTTTATCCACTTGTTTTTTTCCTTTTATTCAGCTCTCGATTGTGTTCGATGAATTCTTTTTGTTTGTTATTAGTATATAAAACGTGCGTTTGTTTTTGGTTTAAATATATTCGAAGAGAGTAAAAAACGATGCTTGTTGATTTTTTTTTATGAAAATGAAACACAAGCTGATATGAATTTAAGATCATGTTGAACTATTATCGAATTGGAAAAATCACAAGTAATGAATATTTTATTAATAACTTTTGATAGAAATAAGATAGATTGATGCGGTCTTCACCATTACTACGAGAATTTTCTGACGTAAAAAATCAGAATGAAATTCGACTGACCAGTAATTAACTGATGAAATCAGTTCATAGTACAGATTTTCGAAAACGATATTTTAACCCTGTTACTCTTACGATCTATATGAGGCCAACATTGCTCACTTGTTCTGTTCAAGAGTTATAAGGATTTTCTTGAGGCCAGTAATTTAAACTAGTTGATCTGGGATTACCCAAGAATGCGCCTAGACAGGGGTAATTTACCATACCAAGTGAAATAGTGATATTTCTTTTTTGATTCGAAATGATACAGCACTGTTATCTCAATATTTATTATATGATGATTTGTTTTATTATATATCAGTAGATTGTAATACTTGGAAAATATTGAAATGGCAATGTGAGATCAATGCAAGTTCAAAAAACAAATATTGCTATTCATGTCAGCATAGTAAATTACTTCTATCTAGATACTTTTTTCGGATGATCTCAAGTCAATAAGATGAAGTCAGAAGTCTAAAGAAAACTTCTGATTACTCTTGAATGAAACCAGCTAGCAATGTCGGCCTTGAGTAGATCAAATGGTGAGCGAATTTTTCTGTCTATGGATCATATTAGCAATCAAAATCAACTGGAGAAAGTCGCCAAGAATTCGTCTGATTGTTTCTGTGCTTGTCAATCGAATTTTAGCGCGTATCTATGCGTCGGAGATCCTTTATTGGTAATTGTGAAAATTGCAGCTCTCTATCATCTTTCTATCAAAACTTATTCAAAAAAACACTCATGGCTCTTCTCTTGGCGAGAAATCTGATAGATAATAAAATATGAATACTAAAAAATCGTATTAATCTACTATTGATAACGTTTTCATCAGTTTTAATCTTAGAATACGCTTTTACAATCACAAGTCATGATAAAAAGAAGACCGAAGTTTTACGAGTTGTTAAATAGTTCATTTTTTTAAAAATCATTTACGATACAACAACTGACACGTAACAACGAGATACTAAAAGAAATCTGTGATATTAGAGTTGTCGTAGCGTTAGCCCTAAGGCTTTATGCAATTTTATAGAACTCGGTCTAGCTTCATTTATACACAGATATCATTGATTGTCGAATACTTTCCGATGAAGAATATTGTTAGATTATAATAGACATACAAGTGTTTGCAAATAACTTGGACACTTTGTTCTATGTATGTCTCCTTTGAAATGTTTTATGTTGTGATTAATAATGTATGAAAAGTATGATAGAACGCATTAATCTCATATTGTATTGGTTCAACTTGAGAAGAAATAGAAAATAAAAATCTTCTTTTTTTTGTTGGATTTTTCACAATTATTGACAACAGAAATGTCAATGTTTTCATTACAAAAAATTTTGTTGAAAATAACATCCAGTCTTTCAGCTAGATACTCTGTTATTCAGCTTATATTAGTGTTAATTGATTATTCAACAACACAACGATTTACTTTAATTTTTCAATCTTGTAATAGATAGTTCTTACTGAAACACTTCTTCAATGATGAATAACACAGCTAGAGTCTACAGTTCTGTTCTAATAAAACTATATCAATATATAATGATTTTTTTAAAGAAGAAGAAAACAATATGATGACTAAACAAAACTGCAGTTTTCTATCATTGTTATTTAGTTCTACAATAGAAAATTCATATATAATTGTATAATTCAATGTTGTCACATCATTTGTATTACAGTGAGTATTATAAATGGCATGATAAGGGTAATTAACCGTTTATTTTGACTGGAAGTATCACATGAGTACTTTATTCAAAACCATTTATAGATTAAAAACAAGATATAAGAAAAATAATGCATAATTCTCATATATCCGTTCATTAGTATAATGGATCTTCACTTTGCATTTGCATCTCGTACAAATAGCAGTAATAATGATTCAATCAGTCTAATTTTTTACCGCATCTAGTAATGTCATCATGTGAGACTCGCTGGACCAATAGGATTCAAACGTGTGCAAGTTTCATCAGCAAATCGAGAAAATTGATGTATTCATTGCCTCAGCATCCATTTTGATTCAACAACGACAACAAATAAATAGCAGGGATTAACAATAATGATTTTAATTATTGTCAAATATTCGTTCGATAAATATGAAGCTCTTCGCTACTCTAATTCTCATTGTTACTATTTCTTTTACACTTTCTTTTGCTGCTGAAGATGCTAAGAAAGGTAAGTTTTCTATTGTATATGCAATAAAAATTTAGATCGGTTTTATATGATTAGATGTTGGAACTGTGATTGGCATTGATCTTGGAACCACATATTCATGTGTTGGGATATTCAGAAATGGTCAAATAGAAATTATAGCTAATGATCAAGGTAATCGTATCACACCATCTTATGTAGCATTTACACCTGATGGTGAACGATTAATTGGTGATGCAGCTAAAAAT